GTGATTTGAAGTTACTTTTTATACAGCAATTGGAGTGTAGTTGAATGAATAAGTTTAAGAATAAAAATAGTCTTCATTTACTATATTTTGAGCAATGTAATCAAATAATGTATGCAAGTGCGTATGCATGCATAAACAAACCAAACACACACAATAAAATAACCCCTCTTCCCCACAACCCTGGCCATCACTTCGTGCTTTAGAGCACATCGTCTACCTGGAGCTCCGATCGAATATGATGCCAAAGTCAATCAAACATGAGTTTCAACTCTATAACTTGATTAGTTTTCACTCGGCGGAAGTAAATTATAACAAAAAAAACATATTCTAGTTAGGGAGACAGTGGGAAATTCGGCCCATTTTGATAAGAATGCGTTCTCGGCTGTATGGCAATTGTTGAAAAGCATGTGAATATACACCATGTTCACATTTTAAGAATTTTTCAACTTTTTCTGTTCAAAGATTGGGTGACTTGCCTTGGAGTAAGTTCGGCACACGTTAATCGCAATCAACATACATATATGTAGTTATGACGTCATACAGTATGCGGCGTCAGGTTTTCTCGCAAACTTTACGGCCGAATTTGCCCCGGCCGGACTTACTCTGGGGGCCGAACATGCCTCGGCCCCTATAATCAGCGGCATATACGTATACGCTATAAATGAATCCCTTTAAGCCTAATATGATAACAGAGCTTTCATGCTGGACGATACTGAAACGGCCGACGCAAGTTACGGACGCATTACACGTGACAATACCAGAGACGTATATAGATCTACTACAGAGATTGTTAACTGCCTCTTTCTCATACCGACGTATTGGGTAGTCTATTTGGATGATACCCATTTTCATTGCAACGGCCTAGGATATCGTTAGAGGATTTCCGAAACGCAAATTACGGCGGCCATTACAAGCGTTAGCTAAATTTCGCAGTGGTAATTTAAAGCTAAGAATTGAAACTGGTCGGTATTCTCGCCCTAAAATACTTTTAGAAGATAGACTTTGTACATATTGCAATTTAAACTGTATTGAATACGAATGCCATTTTCTGATCGAATGTGATTTTTATTCAGATATCAGAGCTCATCTTTTTACAACAGCAGAACAGATTGTACCAGGTTTTAACTATATGAACCTAATTTACAATATGTCCTCGCGAGCACAGTTCATAAGATGTATCGAAGAAGAATGTGTTTTTAATATTAAGTCTTAACTTTTTCTCTTTTTTTCTATATATCTATGAACTGATTTTTAGTATTGATAAATTACGTCGTATTCTACCACGTCTGTGATGTAACGACGGTTTTCATTGGTTAAAAAGAGTGCATTATTGAGCGATGTACCATGCGCGTGCCAATACCAATGCACGTGAAATAGTGCGCACGCATATGCTGTTCCAACAACCTCCCCGTATTTTATCATGAATTAACAAAAAAAGCAGAACTGTCAGGCGGGGTCAAAATATCTGACAGGCCTGCCATTCAAAAGATTACACGGATCTATAGACCTAAAGTATGTGGGTCCGTGCAGTGAAAATGGTTTAGTAATTATTGACATTTAAAATTTACAGGTCTGAAGACAAAATGGTAAATTATTAATTACTTTTGTTTTTACTTCAGTAGGTATAGTGCCGTACATTTCACGATGTGTGCAGTGTGTGTATGTACTGTCAAGCGTTGATTTCATGTTTTGACGAACGATGTCGATAGCGTGCCAATGTTTGATTGATTGAAATAAACATCGTATCTGACGACACACGTGTTCAGTTGTTTCCTTCTTTTCTGGCCAGTTATCACAGCACTGCACTGTATGGTTAGTTATTGGTTACCAAGGTCGAGTGATGTCGAGCATTCGTCTACAGTGTACATATCGTGTGTGAAGAATAATGTTGCAAAAAGTAGCATCGGTCTGAACAGTGGTTGCAAAACACAGCTGTCCGGTGAAGTCGGTGAAGTTCGCGTTATGATCAGCCGGTCAGCGACTTTCCATCACGTCATGGCAACCAACTAAATATGCCACCTCATGTCAGGCCTATCGTATGATGTTGTATCACTGGCACTTCCAAGAAAATCCGCTTGATATCGGTTCGATGATGATGGTTTTAGAAGTAAACGCAATCCGGGAATCCCAACCCTACGGAGTGAGAAATGTTGGCGCGACATTGATCAAGTTAAAACGAGGCAACATGATCACGTGATAAATCTTGCACGCGCAAAAGAACAGCGTCTAATTTGCATATCGAATTATCTAGGTCATGTCGCCTTATAAAACAGCAAAACTTTACAATTAGTTACATTTGACGTGGTAGAATAAAAATAATCAACTTATGTGCGTGCATTATGGTGGAATATATAACGAGGGTGAGAAAATGTGTTGATTATTTCTTAATTAACGAATATATATGGTGTCTCGTAAGCCTCATTTATAGGTTGGGTGTCAATCATATATTGGTGTACATTTTAGACCATGCTTGTATGTATGTATTTTAAGCAAAATTGACATGTGACACTTTAATAAAATAATTTGTATTGTATTGTACTAACAAGTGAGTGTACATACAATTAAATTATAATTATTACCCTGTGACGAGTTCAGGTGATATTTGGCAGGGAATGTCAATATGTCGTGAACCTTTATCTAGAATTTAAGAGGAGTTAGATTACTAGGTACCACGGACTTAGATAACAGCCCTCTAATCTAATTCCGTGCTAGAACCGATCCCCTAAGGCTTTTACCCCTATCCGCACCTGCCTCCCTTCGTTCGGCTCCCGTATAATCTCCTCATTGGAAATTAAGTCACCTTCACACATGTGATAACCACCCCTCCCCCCTCCCCCCTTCCCCCCTCCAGGGTCAGTTACGAGTGTCTTTAAATTACACAACTAACAAAAAGGTGTAAAGTGAATAAAATGCTCATTTCGATGCTCTTATAGTAAGGCTATATCGTGAAAACGTCATTTTCTCTTAAACTTGATTACGGTATGTCAGTTAATATTCAAAATATTTTATGAAGTCGATATATCAGAAGAAAAATAATAAAATGTTGTAGAATTTAAATCACTGAACCGATTTAAAATTGACCATCTAGAAAAAACAGAGTTTAAACGAAAACCTTGAATTTTTTTCTCTGTATTATAATGTAATGGCTGCCAGTGATAACTTCTCATAACTCTGAAATTACGGTATATTCTTATATCAATTATCTTTTTTTTTTTAAACATTTAATGACGCTAAAAATTACCATGTAAATAACTGTTGTGTTCCGTAAATAAGAATTGTCTACGATACTTGTAAAACTTGTAATTATTAAACAAATTGATAACGAAAGCTGATACCGCCTATATGGGCGACTGCAGTCTCGTGACGGATCTCCGAGAACAATAGGCTCAAGCCGTGCGTTAGCGAGATCTGCGCGAGTTGCCAATCTCTGACTTTATTATTTCTTTATTTCCTCCAAATTGAAGAGTTACAAAAATATACAGTGTAGTCAAAATACAAATCAAATATTATTAATTGATACTTAAATGCACATAAATACATCAGTTAACTACAGAGATGAAGAGAGAAGTTAATGAATCAAGTTGAATTAGTTTAGTAAATACAGAAAGAATGGTTTCGTTCACAGCAAATCATACAAAATAATTAGAATGCCTGGGAATCCTGAGGTTTCCAAGGGTTGGGAAAAGCCCTACCAACAAGGTCCTCTCAGGCTTACCCACACATAAACACACACACAATAAGAGAAAAAAACAGTAATTAGGTAGACATTGCTATTGTACGTACATTTGTACGTGTTATTTCATTTTTAACGCTGTGTGATACAACAGCAACATTTTGTCAATAAAAATAGCATTATGCAGTACAAAGGTTACATAATCAGATAAGCTTAATATGTGGGGAAGGCTACCCCCAAGTAATACATGAATTAAATCATAATCAGACAAAGAGTATAAGAACATGCCAAGTTCTAGGCCTATATCAAAAGCCGTATATTTATAAGACACCATAGATCGTCTCTAAGACTTTCAGTTTTTGTACAATGGAGTACTATATATGTTCAGGGACGTATATACTATACTGTCCCTGATGTGTTATACAGTCATTATGTAAAATACAACAAAAATGGCATAATTCAATAATATTTGTTGATCTTAAATAAGCGAAAAAGTTTGGCTTAAGCACGGAATTAGATTAGATTAGATTTTTTTTTATCTAACTGTTAAGTCCGCCGTGGCTTAAGGATGTAGTCAGGTGAAATAGGAAAAGTTTAAGAAATCAACAATTGTGTAAACCATTGTTATTTTAAAAGAATAATATAATTTTTTAAAGATTGGGCAGAGACATATAAAGACGTACGTTATATAGTACAACATGTGTCATGTCTCTGGTCTGAAGATATAACTTAAAACAAAACACGAGGACTACATTTCGCTGAAGAGATATAGATAAGGATATAAGAAACTAGGGAATAAATGGTATGTACGGCCGTTTGTCCACCAGTTGCAATCGGGAACCGTCGGCACTTTCCGTAAACGAGAAAATCACCGATTTCAATAAATCAGTTGAACGCTTCAAATATATGCTGTGCTTGAGTAGAGTACAAGCGTTTCACAGATTTGGGTCGTGCATCGCAACATGTAAACATGGTTTGGGAGGGTATCTTAGGTCTTTGCTGCAGAAGCAAATGCAACAACTAAGAGACCTAGCGAATCTCAATTTACACCTTGCATTTATGTATTTTCAGAGAGACAAAGAGACATCTCTATCAGTGGAATCCGGAGTGCCTCAGGTTACGGTACTAGTGCCACTTATTTTTCTGATCTTTATAAATGATTTCCCAGAATCTGTCTCTTCTTCTTCTTCAAGTAATTGCCTCCATCAAGAGGTGGATGCTTCTGCAATATCATATGCTATGCTGTTTGCAGACGACTGCTTGTTATATCGTGAAATTATAAGTCAACCAACGACAGCCTTGCACTACAGCAAGATCTAAACTTAACTTGCTACAGAAATGGGAATATGACTGGCAGATGCAATCACAGGTGCTAGCATCGTCTTTCAATACACCTATGATATAATCATATTATAGGTGTATTGACAGACGAGGCTAGTACCTGTGATGCAATTCAACACGGATAAATGTTTTGCTATCCGAATGTGTAGAAAACAGTCAAATAATTCTACCTCATTTGACTATACCATCCGCAACCATACCTTAGAGATTGTATCAGATAATAAAAAAAAATGGGTGCAACATTTAGTCAAGACCTTTCTTGGGCCCCACACATTTCCAATGCAACATTGAAAGTGTGTAGAACACCAGGGGTTCTCTGCAGGAGTATGTCTAGGTGTACAAGAAAGGCAAAATCACAAACATACACAACACTTTTATTAAGACCTCAGTTGGAGTATATATGTCAGTTCAGCCTCAGAGACCCTTAATCCAGTGATCACATCAACCAACTGGAATCTGTCCAATGTAGAGCAGCCAGATATGTCTTCAATGACTTGCACCAGGAGCAGTCACTGACATATACTGAAATTACTAGAATGGACATCACTGGAGGAAACTTTTACAAAATTACACACAATCTACTAGCAGTTCAGACTGACCAACATCAGACACATGTACCAGAGGCAAACACAAATTTAAAGCGATAAGCACCAACAATGAATGCTACAAACACTCCTTCCCTCAGACAGTCATGGACTGGAATCAACCCCCAGCAACCTTAGCTACAAAAGACTGGCAAGAGTCCTTTAAATGTAGCCTTTACAAATCCACGCCAACTGAATAATATTTGTGTATGTCGATCTCACTCTTTACAAACTAAAAATCATGCTCCTGTTGTGTGCTGTTGACCCCCCGTCCCCCGTCCTCCCCACACACACACCGACCCATTGATGCAGTATTTGCCTACTTAAGTGTCAAGTATTTTAAATTTTATAACATTTGCCATTCTTTTAATTTGTACATGTATCAATGTTATATCATCATTTAGTTTATCTGTACATGCACAAAGGAACAGTCATCGCTCCATACTAGAAGATGAGTTCCTTATGTAAAAGAAGAAGAGTGCATGCTTAGGGGAGCTGGACTGGGTGGATCGCGGGTGAGAGAGCATCCGTCTAGAGCGCTCAGCATGGGCACAGGAGATACCCGAACCTATAGATTGTACCTATTGTTGGGTGCCTCTGTAGCCGTGATCGCTAATGTGCACAGTCATTGCACTACTGTCAGCTTCAGACCACTCGCTCTTCCAAGAATTTCGGTTCGATCCCCAGCGGTGGCTGAAAAAGAGAGTAATGTCTGATAGGGTTAGTTGTTATCCCTCTAATGGCACGGTGAAGATTATTATACATACAAGTGTTTTCTTCCAGCAGGGGCGAAGATTTTAAAAAGATGGAGGGAGGCGTGAAGCGGAGCTGCACTTAATTGAACGCTAATGTCCAGGTAGCTCAGTTCGTAGTCATGGATTTGAATCCAGATATGGCTCCATCACACTTACTTCTTCCAGTTTCACATGTGGCCAAAGAAAACAAAACCATGGTACGGCTGAAGAAGGGTGAGCTCAAACATCGGCAAACAAAAGGAAACACAATTTGTCGTCGATGTCTAAACAAAAATGAAAAAGCTCAAAGTTTTATTTGTAAGTTTGTATTGGACCGAAGAGTCGGCATGGAAGACAAGGATGATGTCGTTGATTTTCTGAAAGACCACTTGGATGACGGTGGTATGGTCCATGAATACGATAATCTTCAAACAAACTTCTTGTTATATTCTCTCAACAAACACAAAAGATGGATGATCGCCAGTCATATTGTTAACCTTGTAGAAAGAACCGAAATCCAGGAGGAAGACTTCCGACTCGTTCTACATGAGCGATTGACTCCCACTCCGAAACGCTGCCATAATTGTGTGCTAGACCCAGTTGCTAGTGTGCTAGACCCAGTTGCTAGTGTGCTAGACCCAGTTGAACTGAAGGAAAGCTCAATTTCTTACCATGACAGTAAATTTAACTTAGTGCATAGTTATCCAAACGGAGTTGCTTCAACTCTAACTGACCTTTCCTTGAGATGTTACCATGACAACATCGACCACGACACTATTTCATCGGAACAAAAATCTCGGAAATTGCATTATAAAGAGTATGTTTCAATTCTTATATTTCATTTAAAATGTTATAGTTTATGTCATGTGTCCCACCACTTATATGCTGTATACATATCGTGAAAATTTAATTTCCCGTTAATGTTATTTGTACAATGGCAGTATGGATATTATTTTTAATGAAAGTTTTACAAACACTAGCTCACAAATTAAATATTAATAGAAAAATCAAATATTGAAGAAATTCCAGTAAATTCATACAAAATTACATATGAGCTGTAACATACAAATGTATGTATGTGAGGTGGAACTGGACTGGGTTGAATGGCGGCGACCAGCTAGGTAGCTCAATTGGTAGAGCGTCCATCTAGAGTTCTGAAGGTCCCAGGTTCAAACCCTGGTCTGGCCATTGCATTTCTCTTTCATCTGTTACATATGAAATGCAATAATATATATGTGTGTGTTTTGTTAATGTATTCCTAGTGTAATGCGTGGAGATGCCCATCCTGTTGTCGTTCCCGAGATTCGGTATGAGATTACCTACCCAGACACTGTCGTTGGGCCGTGTAAATGTTATACGGATACAGGTAATAATTTACCTTTTACTTGTGTTCTGAATTACAGCAAGGGGGGG